TACATACAGATAACCAACAGGTATAGGAAAGCATTTTCAGTATCACTAATGATATGGAAAATGCAAAGAAAATCTATAGGTTTAATTAAGGGCATGATGAATAACCAAAGATGACAAAAGTCACAAAGATGTATAACAGTACGAATGCCAAATACCACCCTTAGGAATGGGCACTTTAGAAAAAAGTAAAGGATGGTCCACAAAAAATGGAATACTGCCAACTCACCCCGCAGTCTCACTTTTGGGTATCTATGCAAAAGATTGAAATCTGGATTACCAAGTGATGTTGGAACTTCGGTATTCATTTTAGGAGCTATGACAATAACCAGCATGAGGAAGAAACATTCTTTTTCACTGAAGGATAATGAATAAAGATGTATTATATAATAGAATAAAATATTACTTGGCCTATAAAATAAATTCTCCAGTGGGTTAAATTTAAGGACATTATTTTGAGTGAAAAATGCAATAAAAAACCAAATATGCATAATCTGACTTATATGTTTAATTTACATTACACAGAATATTTAGAAACACATAGTGCAATGGTTGTTACCATTCTTTGATGTAGGGTAGAAGAAGTGATTACTACTCAACAAGCATAATGTTCCAGAGAAGTATGATGAATAAATTCTAGAGATCATCCTTATGACATTACTTAATTAGACTCTACTGCATATTTTAAAATGTTGGTAAAACAGACATCACTGGAAGTCCTCATACGTCAGTGAAAGACATTTGTAGAAGATGAGGGAGAGACATACAGAGACAAAGAAAGACAGAGAGAACTTTTAAATCAGAAAAATAATAAAAGGTATATTCAACTTTGGCAGCTATAGTCTATAACAGAAAATATTAAAATTGCTTTTGTTCAAATAACGCTTCCCTAAACTTTAAGAAAAATAGTATCCCTTAAATCAACAGATGAGAGTGTTTCCAGTGAATTACAACTGTTTTTTCCACTATTTGCATCAAATATAGAGAGCTGCAGCTATTTAACACAGATTTTGACTCAAGAAATAGTTTCATATGCCTGTTTTCCACATAGATATAGGCAGTTGTTATAATTGCATTGTACCCTTTCTCATAGCAGGAAGGGATGATATATATATATATCAGCACTCAAGAAGCTGAGGCAGGATGATCGATCTGAGTTTGAGGCCAGCCAGAGCTTCATAGTAAATGCAAGACCATTCTGAGCTATATAGCAAGAATTTATCTTAAAATATCAAAAGAAATAATGAGAAAGAAAAAAGAAACAAAGGAAGAAAGGAAGAAGGAAGGAGGAAGGAAGGAAAGAATGAATGAAAGAAGAAAGAATGGGCTATGCATTTATCCTTTAACTCACTGTAAGGTATATGAAGAACAGAAATTGTTGACCTGAGTCCCCTACAGCTCAACATAACAGTATGGCTTTAATTCTTATGCTTCGTTTTTATACTTTTCTGCTGGATGGTTAAGACCAAGGTAAAGCAGGACCTATGCAACAAGCGGTGTAGCTTTTGGGTCTGATAAGGTCAGTGAAATCCCCTCAGGATTTATCCTGAGATCCTGTACCTCAGATTGTAGATTCTTTGTCAGTGTCAGCCATGTGAATGAGTCACGGCCGTTGCTTGGCCAATGTGCTCTCTGTGAAAGCCTGGGAGCATATTTTCTCTCCATGTGACTCTCCTTAGGCACACTCTCCATCATCAATCACTTTCCTCTTTGGCCCAATAATCTCCTTGATCAGAAAGTTTGGGACACTACTGAGTTATATGACATTACAGTACAAGTTCTCATATGTCCTGAGTCTTAATAGTGTTTGTAAATAGGATATCATGTCCACATCTTGTACAGCAATTAACCACTAGTAAGAATGTATGCAATGTGTTAATTATTGACACTGTCTTACCAATTTGGTTTGAAACTGTCTGATTGCTATTTGTTTCTCAATAAAATTATGGGGGGAAAAAGGTATCTGAAGAACAGGTACGTTTCAGTGTACAATTAGCACATAAAGCCTTATTTCTCTATCATGGTGATAATTCACAAGTTCCATCCACAATAAAGTTTTAATTACACTAGAAGACACCATTAAACATATGGATCCTAGGACTGTCACCTCTCTCTCTAGCTGAGCACACATGAAAGATTTATTTCTTTATCTACATTTGTTCTTAACCTGTTTCCAGCTCAGAATATCTGATCCTGAAATAAACACTTCACAATTTCTTTCCTTACTGACTCTACCCATCAGGTTGAAAAACAAAATACTAACCTGGCATCTTTAGTTCTTCATCAGGTGGGGATTATTTTGGTGCATGTAACAGCCACCAGCACTGGTGAGGGAGATGGCTGCACCCTGAAATAAAGGACTATGCATATGTGACCTCACAATTCCTCTGTGAATTGTAATTATCATTCCACCTATACTGAAATGACAGTGGAGGCTCGGGGACCCAAGGACATCAGAACTTTTTCCCTAGTTGTTCATTAACAAAGACAGTTACAATTTTTTGGTAAATATCTCAAAGAGATCATTAAAATTGTGAGAGAGACTTACACTTTAATTGTCCCTGAATGCTGTAAAGAGAAAAAGATATGGTTTCCTATGTAAGGACCTGTCAAAGAGTTATGTATATGCAACTTGATTCCAAACTTCACTGCAGTTTTTATGTTTATTAGTATTGGTCCACAGTACATAATATCCTCATTTATCATGAATTGTTATCACATGGATGTAACACATATGAATTCACTTTTCATGCCATTTCCTGCTTTATCCTTTTTCCTTCCTCCATCTCTCCTTTTGCAAAAAATTTATATCTATGTTTCTTTTCATTTATCTTTATTTTATTTTATTTTTTAGGGAAGGGTCTACATGGTGTTCAGGGTTTCACTATTAG